CTCATGCCGTTCTAGTGCCTGCTGCCTCCCCAGCTCCCGCTCCTCCTCCCCCTCCTGCCTCTCCCTCCTCAACCTCCACACCCACCGTCTCAATCTCCACACCCTCCTTCCCATCCCTACGGGGACGCTGAGGCCCCCGCACCCATGCTGGGAGACAGTTGGCCCGGCGAGACCCCCACCCCTGAGTTCTGTGTTTCCCGCTCATGCCGTTCTAGTGCCTGCTGCCTCCCCAGCTCCCGCTCCTCCTCCCCCTCCTGCCTCTCCCTCCTCAACCTCCACACCCACCGTCTCAATCTCCACACCCTCCTTCCCATCCCTACGGGGACGCTGAGGCCCCCGCACCCATGCTGGGAGACAGTTGGCCCGGCGAGACCCCCACCCCTGAGTTCTGTGTTTCCCGTTCCCCTTCTTCCCCTTGATTCCCCCTTCCAGCTCCCTCCTCCCCTCTCCCACCCTCTCTCCTCCCCTCTCCCGCCTCCTTTCCCCAGTCTCCCCAGAGTTTCATGTCCCACCCAGTTTTGTTAAATAAAGAGCATTTATATTTTTGAAAATACATGTATTTTATTTGACACAAGGAAGAGGGGTTAGGGAGGGGTACGTGGACGGCAGGCAAGCAAGCAGGGACACCTGAAATCCGGCTGCCCGGGAGGGGGTGAGGGAGGTGTCCCTTTAAGCACAGGCCTCAGCCTCAGGCAACAGACACACAAAGACACTCCTTACCTGATGCCCTAACCCTGACCTGGTTCCGGACGGCCTTAACTCCGAATCAGTGTCCATTCAGTGTGGACACGGTATTTCGAAATAGCAAAATGCTATTTCAAAATGCATTTTGTGTGTAGACGCGTTATTTCGAAATAACTTATTTCGAATTTACTATTTTGAAATAAGGTATTTCGAAATAACGCTGTAGTGTAGACATACCCTGAGGGATGGGAAAAAGGACAGGGGGATCATCCCAGTTACAAGAAGAAAGAATAGATGCACTTGAAGAAAGATCAAGATGAAATACAGTGAATACATTTGCCATTCTTTTATTCAGTCTTCCTAAAATATTTTTTTTGTTCTTGTTTTTTGAAGGCTTCTTACTTGTAACACATACATATTAGATATAATAGGCTATCCACTAAGGAGATCAAGTTATAAGTTTTCCAATTCTAAAATATATGATTAAAAAGAGTGTTCAGATATATTTGGGATAAAAAATGTTTTATTTGTCACTGGAAGAAGTCAAGGCTGCTGCATATCATGTGGGCAAATAGGAAAGTTTTGCAGCAATTCTTAGCACAGATATTTGCATAACATACAATTATTGAAAACTAGCGAAAGCTTTGAATCGGCAGTCCTAAACTATGACTGGCAGAATGATAGGACCCTGTATCTCGTTTTGCAGCGTGTGGAACTCACCACACAGCAACGTATACTTTTGTCATTTTCAGGTTGACATATTATTATGGCTGACAATGATACATCAGATGCGACAGAGTTCAGCACCCTGTTGCTTGGACAATTCAGCAGGTGGGGATGATCCCAAATTCGTCATTTGGCATCCTTCATAGTACAAACTTTTAATATCAAGGTTTTATCAAACCTACAGTTTAACAACTTAAACTGATTATCTTCAATTTTATGGTGTGATGATTTGAATTGTTAATGGCACCCTATAGTAACTGCTGCTTCAGAAAAATACATGAATAATTACAGTTCATGACAAATAAAAAAAGTGATTCAAAATAAACACAAATTGAATTTTTAAACTTTAAAGTAGATACAGGATTATTTCTAAAACCAAACCTATTAGAAATTAACACAACCTATGTTAGAGCCTAAATTTACTGTAATCTAGGGACATGAATGACTAATCCACTATCCGATAAGCAAATGCTTATCAGATAGTCAACACACTCTTCAACTAGTCCTTCCCCCTGCTTGTTGCATCAGAAAAAGTCCCCAGCTGACCCATGGCTGCATGCAGTGCTGACACTTTGAAATGCAGGGAACATGGATCCTTGAGTCTCCCACTGGCCCCATGCTGCCCACAGCGTTTTCGCCTTTGAAGTGTAGCAACAGCTCTAAGGCTGTTGCAACCCTTCAAAGGTGGAGGCGCCCTTATCGACTAATTGAATCATCAATGCAAACTGCATCGAGGATTCCATTAGCCGATTAATCTAAATTTAACATCCCTACTGTAATCTATTATCATTTAAATCAAATAACAAAATACACAGCATATATTTACTGCCAAAATCTCAAAGAAAATCAATCAAACAGGTCAAAGTCACTGGCTAAGCACCTGGAAACATAGTTTGCTGAAGTGCAATACCAACTTTTGACAACTGTAGGGTCTTCTGCAAGTGCACAGAGATTATTTTCTTTACTTCACCTCAGATATTGGCTATCATTTGGCAAAAACCATGTTATTTAATTTTAAATGGATTTGCATTCCTGAATCTTAAAAAGTAATGGTAATGCCAGAGAACACAAAATAATCTCTGGAAATAACTCACCTATTATTACTATTGGCACAGTCAGGATAGGGTCTCCCCCCGTCAGAGTGGCTTCTTCTAGTAAGGGCATTCTTTTAATTTTCCTCCCAAGGCTGTCACCAAAATGCTGCACAAAGGAGCTCAAAAGTTGTCCTTCACTTTGAGGGTCACTGTAATTTCCATTTGAGAAAAAGCATCAGCTGAGCATTACAAAACTTTCTTCAAAGCTTAAATTACTATTGGGTCATTGCTTTAAAACTATCAAACTAACAAAGCTTGATTACATTAAGCAAAAGTAAAATATTAATCAATTCAGTACAGCTTTTCCCACATAAAATATTGCTTTGTCGTCTACAACGATGTATTAAAATATATACCTATTTCTTCCAAAAAGTCCTACAAAACAATATGGGCAGCAATGGAAAAGGGTTTGTAGAATATAATCTAATGTGTGTCTCATTCAAATCCAGTTTCTCATTATAAATCCAGTGTTTAAACTATTGATTTCCCCTCACCCTTTTCATATCTCAAATATAATAAATATTTGGTTCTTGGCAATAACTACCTTTCAATGATACCCAAGTTTAGGGTCAGACATTAATTCATTTATAAACATGATATTTAATTTAAAAAAGTTTTTTCCCCAAAATTTGTCAAAAAATGAAATATTTCCAACATTTTATTAGACATGTATGTAATTTATAAATGATATGCATCTAGAGAATTTGGGGTAATATATATTCAAATTATAACTCCAGTTCAATGAAAAATACCTTATTAAAAACAATCAACTGACTCTAATGAACTCATAGATGTTCTCAGTTACACAGTTCAAGAACAATTTCAATAGATAGTTTCTGCTAAATTCACTCCCAATAACATATAATCGTTCTACATTCAAAAAAATCAGTATTTGTTTTACAGTGTCCAAATGTGAGATAGCTACTTCAAGATAGGCCCCATCCCAAGGATTTAATAAACGACTTGAATTTCTGTTAAATTAAACAAATAGTTAATCACTGAACTAACTCCTCTTTTCAAATCTTTTCACTGTTAATAGAGCACATTTTTTGCTTGTGTATCTAAAAGGATGATGGCAGCTTAAAAGTAACCTGAAAATCAAATTGTTACCTACAGTAGGGCACTTCAGATTACAGGCAGTCCCCGGGTTACGTACAAGATAGGGACTGTAGGTTTGTTCTTAAGTTGAATTTGTATGTAAGTCGGAAAAGGTACATATTGTAGGGGAAACTCTAGCCAAACTTTTCTCCAGAGCTCAGTTTTATTCTCCCACACCTCACTTCCCTCAGTCCTTTATTCTCAAGCTGAGGTGTCTGCTGAGAAAAGCCGCTCCGCATCTCCCTGGTCTGCGGGGGGGCGGGGTTGCCTCACCCCGTTTGTAAGTAGGGATCCAATGTAAGTCGGATCCATGTAACCCGGGGACTGCCTGTATTTAAGCTTTAAAATAGTTTTTAAATGTGTTTCATTTTTTAGGACTGTTTTTAAAGACAGGGACACCAAAACTCTAGTATTATCCCTTCCCAGTCAGGTGGGTACTCCCAGATATTTCAAGTGAATAAAGTTACTGACTAATTAAACCACAACAATTTTCTCCTGACTTTTTTCTGCCTCTCTACCTATTTCTCCCAGAAATTAGATTAAAGAGCTTCAATGTCTTCTTGAGTCTACTAAAATTGACAATTCCTGTTATCATATCACCAGTCTATTGTGAAGACAGTTATTTGCTCCTTTTATAAGAAGAATGCATTTTGCATTTCATTCTGCTTTTAAAATAAAAATAGATTAGTTTCATCTCATTTCTCCAAGAGCATATTAGTTCTCAAACGAACTTGTATAGTGCTATAAATTGTGATTTTCAAGCACTGCAGCAGCAGATTCAATTTAAACAAATAACTTTACACTGGAATATATAAAAGGAAAATAATTAGAATAGTTTTACTAATTTTAAATATTGCAAAACCTTCTTTTATGCATCTAAATTGTGGGCCTGTATCAACCAGCAGTGTCTTTTAAATCTAACTATACTTTGTGTCCCCTCCCATAACGTTAAAAGCTAGAAGGTGTTCCAGAGATGTGGTTGAGTGCACATAAAGTGTATAACATATTATTTAGATAGGAAGCAATATCTTTTAGGGCCCTACCAAATTCACAGCCATGAAAACATCTCACAAATCACGATATCTGGTCTCCCCTCATGAAATATAGTCCATGGTTTTACTCTATAACTATACATGTTTCATAGGGGAGACCAGTGTTTCTCAAATGGAGGGTTCTCAAACAAAAGTGAGTTGCAGAGGGGTTGCAAGCAGTGTTTCCTCTAACTTTTTCCACCTACATGCAGAATAAATTTTGTTATGCCACCAAGGCATTTGCAGATGTGCACCACTAACAGAAACACATGCTGCCAGCTGAGGGAAACTGTGGGTGCTCTGCAAATAAGCTGGGCGGCACCTGAATCTTTCCTGGGCAGCTGCCCAAGTGCTCAGTTTACAAGGATCACTGGTTTCAAGGTTATTGTAGGGGGTCATGGTATTGCCACCCTTACTCCTTCATTGCCTTCAGAGCTGAGCAGCCAGAGAGGAACAGCTGCTGACTGAGGGCTCAGCTATGACGGCAGCAGTACAGAAGCAATACCATACCATGCCATCCTTTCCTCTGTGCTGCAGCTGGCAGTAGCTCTGCCTTCAGAGCTGCCTTCATTGCCTTCAGAGCTGAGCAGCCAGAGAGGAACAGCTGCTGACTGAGGGCTCAGCTATGACGGCAGCAGTACAGAAGCAATACCATACCATGCCATCCTTTCCTCTGTGCTGCAGCTGGCAGTAGCTCTGCCTTCAGAGCTGGTTTCCTGGCCATCAATCGCCACTTTCCAGCCATCCAGTTCTGAAGGCAGCACCATTATTGACAGTAGCACAGAAGTCAGGATAGTAGTATTGCAACTAGGGATGTGAAAGTGTAACCATGTACAGTTAACGAATGAACCTGGACACATCAGTCAACCTTCACAGTTATACGGAGGCTCCCGGCGTAATTGCTGAAATTTTTAGTGGTTACAGAGTTACTTAATTAAATGCATTTTAATATCCCTAATTGCAATCTCTCCCCACAACAACCTTTTAACCTCCTACCCCAACTCCTTTTTGGGTCAGGATCTCGACAGTTACAACACTATAAAATTTCAGATTTAAATATATGAAATAATGAAATTTATTATTTTTTAAATCCTATGACTGTGAAAGTGATCAAAATAGACCATGAATTTGGTAATGCTCTAAATACCTTATATACAGGTTACTCTTCTCTAAGACTGAAATATACTGCACTGTATCACTTGGTTTGAATTTCTAGGTTCCCAGCCAAAACTAAAGGCCAGCATGGTCCTTGATAATGTGGATTCTTCTGTAGTAGGACGCAACACCATATATTCACTGTTAATCCCCATGACAGAAACTCTTTGAAATGTGTTTCTTCTTGGTCCTTTATCAGCCAGATAACACAGAAAAGCACATTAAAATTAAACTAAAAAACACTTTTCTTTAAGTATTTAATTGAATCTAACTCTTAATTTATATCCTCCAAGAAAAAAATCTGTCAACTTTGAGTTAAGCCAGTAAGCCTGCATCAGCACAAATCATAAGAAGGAAAAAAAAGTAATTAAACAACACAACCCTCTACCTACACTTCACTTCCCCCTACTCATCTAACTCTGACCAATCATGCATCTCTGTCCTTATACTGAACAACAAACTTGTGGTCCGCTTAGACCATGTATGAACTCAAAGCAATTTTTCTGTAACAAGGATTACATTCTAGACTTGGTAGACAATTTCAGGGAAGGGGAAAGATTTACAAACATGGCTTTCGCTTTTATCCTGCGTAACTATAAGTGGGCAAAGCAGTTTGCCAGTTACAGAGTCAGAGCCAAATAATGTTATCGTCATCATGACAAAGGCATCTAGTCGTATGTTTTCTTCAGATAACCAAATTTAAAATAAGCTTCCTTATTTATTGCAAGCTAATACTTTTTTCAGGGGATGGAGGTGTTTTGGTGTTTTAATTATCAGAGCAGAAAAGTTGTCAGGGAAAACATTAGAGTATATATAAATAATATAAATTTCAAGTCAAGATTTGTTTCAGACAAAATAATATCTATCAAATTCTTCTGTAGCATCTATCACTTAACCAGATGTAACAAAAGACAGGACTATGCAGCACTTTATGGTTTTGTAGGAAAGATGCTTTACACAATGCTATAAATTTTAAAATATTGTGCAACTTTCTTCAACAGACAACTTTCAGTTTTAAATTATTATTATTCCAGTATAATTTTTTAGAAAAAAATACCTCTTCAAAGCCCACTCTTGGGTGGTAGATAAAATGCAGTTAAGTATAGTCCCAAATTTAAAGTTAGCTAGAACAAGCTTTTAAAAACTTTAACACCAACAAAAATGTTCTCAAAATAATTGTCCACTGAAAACAGTTGTTTATTTTTTTTAAAAAATACCATTCATAGATTGAAACCCGGATACTGCAGTAGTAAGAACCCGAAAATAAAACTGAGAATCAACAAATGTGAAAGCAACTTCACTGATTTTCACTGTCCAAGTTGAAATAGAAGAATATAAACAAAATAAGCAGCAACTTGTATAAGGTTTCCCCACCACCTTTTAATTCTTTTACTTTTAATCTAAAGTTCTAAAGTAATAGGTAAAGAAATGTTTGTTTATAATAGGATTTCTAAACTGACAATGTCTCAGTCCAGTCAAAGTTTAAGACCGCAAGCATATGTACATTATTTTTTCCAACACTCATAGTAATTATCACAATCACTACTTTACAGTTAACTAAATGCACCAAATCCTTGTGCACAGTGAGCCAAAGGTGCTATAGTCTTGTCTAAATTGAGCTTTTTTCTTTCAACCTCTCACCGTCTAGACATGCTCTTGAACAAGATTAAATGACACGGTTGTATACACACCAGCAGCCAGTCTATACTAATGCACTCATCACAGCTCACACTAGTGAAGTTACAATGGAAAGGGAAGTTTGAGAAAAAAGCTCAATGCAGACAAAGCCATAGAGTTTAAGAGATTTGTCCAATCACACATACATTTCAATGACACGTTCAGGAAGAGAAATTAGATCTCCCAACTCCCAGTCTTATGATTTAATCACTAAATATATTTCTCCACAGAATAGAACAAGATATACAAATAATAGATCCCTTAAAAAAACAATGTATGGTTAAAAAATTACGAGGGCCAGTTATTTAGCAAAACATTCTAACTTTGCATTGTTAAAAACAGAATGCAATTGTTTTATGCACTCAATCTTAGGCGCACCCATTTTTTGTACAAATAAGAATGTGTAATTCCACAACCACAAAATGCAGAAACCCCCCGAATCATACTCAGATACAGCAATGTTTCCCAAATCCTATCTCCTGCTACCTAGTCCCCCGACATCCTTCCATTGTCCCCTATTCTTGTCCACCCACAACTGTCTTCTACCCCTACTCGCCTGCACACTCCATCCCCATCCCTTCACCTCCTGGCCTGTACCCACATCACAGACACTAATGTCACAACCCCAATCTCTGCCCCTACCCTCAAAAGGGTTATTCCCCTCACAACCACACCTACCTCCCCCTCCACCCTCCCAGACACACATGGCAAGCATTCTTTTTGTGATCCCACTAACCACCCTCCCTTAACCCACACCCTGGCCTTTTGTGGATGCACCAGCTTTCCCACACACACAGCTATTCTCATTGCAGCACTGTATGACCCAACATCCTGCACCTGTACCCCCATCCCAGCTCTTTCCC